GTTTCCCTTGGGTAATTGTTACTTTGGAAATTTTGTTAGCTGCAGTATATGATATACCCTTGACGTCTTCACCTCCACTTATAACGTTGACAGTTCTTTTGGGAGAAGGTGGTTTTGGAGGCTCCTACCTATTCTTCCTGTAAGCTTGCTTGCCTTTCTCACTGAACAACTCAGTAAGGTACCCTTGTTTTAATAAATGATCAACTTCACTTTGTAAAAACCTGCAATCTGCTATTTTATGTCCGTGGTCATTATGAAACTCGCACCAATGGTCAGGGTTGCGCCTATTTGGGTTCGATCTCATTTCCTTTNATATACCCTTGACGTCTTCACCTCCACTTATAACGTTGACAGTTCTTTTGGGAGAAGGTGGTTTTGGAGGCTCCTACCTATTCTTCCTGTAAGCTTGCTTGCCTTTCTCACTGAACAACTCAGTAAGGTACCCTTGTTTTAATAAATGATCAACTTCACTTTGTAAAAACCTGCAATCTGCTGTGTTATGTCCGTGGTCATTATGAAACTCGCACCAATGGTCAGGGTTGCGCCTGTTTGGGTTCGATCTCATTTCCTTTGGCCATCGAACCTTATCTCCCATGCTTCTCAAAACAGCTACGAGCTCGGAGATGCTGACGTTGAAGTTGTAACCACCGAATTCGCTTTTAAATTTTTATCATCATCTCGTGACTCATAGTTATTTTGCTCGTTCCTGAATCTTGATGAAGAACCTGATTCTCTATTTCTTGATCTGTGATCGTACCTTTGATTATCCTGCTTTGACCGTGAATCCTTTCCCACAGGTCCCATGTAAGGCTCGTACCTATTTTTACCGGATCTTTTTTCGGTCTCCGCACGTCTCGAACTTACCTTTTCTTCTTTTTGAAATCGTGGAACAGTATCTTCCTCAATCCTCAATTTCGTGCTATACCTGTTATAAATATCATTCCACGTTGTAGCAGGGAATTCTCGAAGGCTTTCCTTGAGCCTCTTCATAGCTTCCGAGCTTTTTTCGTTCAAATTACTTGTGAAAGTTATAGCTGCCCAGTTGTCAGGTACACGCGACAATGTCATTCTTTCTCGTTGAAATCTGTCCACGAATTCTCTAAGCAGTTCTGAGTCCCCTTGCTTGATTTTGAAAAGATCCTCCATTCTTTTTCTACTTTTTAAGCTCCCGAGTGTGCTTTGATGAAAGAATCTGCAAGCTCAACAAAAGAATTTATAGAATTTTCGGGTAAAAGAGAATACCATGTTAGCGCTCCTTTGGTGAGCGTTTCACCAAATTTTTTGACTAATACTGATTCAATCTCCTGCTTAGTCAAATCGTTGCCTTTTACACCCATCATGAATGCAGTCACATGATTTCGTGGGTCTGTCGTTCCATCATATTTTGGAATATCAGGCATTTTGAACTTTTTTGGAATTGGGAGTGGAGCAGCACTAGTCTTCCAGGGTTGTTGTGAATATCTATCCATATCTACCCCTTTGATTATGGGCGGCACCCCGGGTATCTGCTCTATGCGCTCACTTTGCTCCTTGAGCTGTTTCTGCAAGGTTAGTACCAAGTTTTGTAAATTTGAATTAACTAAATTACCTGGTTCTCCATCCTGCGATTCACTGGGGGTTCCACCGTTTACTGAATTAACAAACCCTGAACGAGGGTTCTCCAGAGTGTTGTTATTTGGAGTAGGTGTGGGGGGTATAGTAGGTAACTGGCTAACCAAGGCCTGAACGGCATTATTGACCTGTGCGGTAATAAGTTTTTGCAAAGCCTCATCCATAGCTTCAACATTTTCAAATTGAGCCTGTCCATCAGTATGAGATCCCTCAGGAGTGCCTTCACGAGATCGCCGAGGAGAGCCTTGTGGAGAAATAATCAGTGCGTTATTATCCTGAGGGTCTCTCTGAAGGTGTTGGTTTATCTGGTTTTCTTGGTTTCCTTGGATGTTGTCATTTTTGTTCGACATAGTTGATGCAACAAGGAAAGTTAAGCGAAAAGAAAATAGATTATCAGATTCCTGGTAACGAAACCAATTTGTTTAACTAAAAAATGAATTTTTAGTCAAAGCTAGAATTTAGAAGAACACGGGTTACTGATAATCAAAAGAATGTATAAAAGGACGTAATTTAAGTAGCAAGAGAGTAATCAAGAGAAAAACAAGTAAACTAAAGTTTATATCAATAGTATTTCGTGTCCTTACAATTGATCAGATGTCTCCCTTTTATAGATATCTTGGAGATATACGTTTTGCCCAAATCATAATGAGGCTATTATGAGTAATTAAAGACATTTAATGCTACGTTACATAATCATTATATTCAATACAAATTTTCTAACGTATTCCACATTTAATGCCTATTAAATGCCGTATCTGCACTCTTTTCTATTGTCAGATTCATTCCTTTTGATTCTCGGACATAAATAACTTAGATAGGTACGGGTACTGAGTTATTTGTATTTTCGCCTGTGCCTCTTCCTCTGCCATTTACTCGTATCTGTTGCAACTCGTGCCTCTTGGCTAGTTGTAATTCTTTGATCATTTGACCAGTCTACGTGTTTTGACACGTATTCGTCACATCACCTTTATATTTAAATACAATTTTTCCCAATACACTCATAAATCACAAGGTATCATAATATTTTGTTCCCTTTTTAATGATCTCTCATAGTACTGTGTCGTTATTATTGGTTATTGTTATTGCCTTTTCATCTATATTCTGTCTCTTACGATACTGATATTATTTTTCTTGCTTCGATTGCTGTTACGGATCTATTGTATCTTTCCGTCTTCTTGAGCCGAAAGTCTTTCAGAAACATCCTCTCTAAGGTCTGCGTACACACTACTCTCCTCAAACCCCACGTGTGAGATTTTACTAGTTGTTGTTGTCTCTCCCTATAGAAGCCATTACCTTGTTGATGTTATTGTCTGTTGCTACTGTTTCTTTTTGCATCTTTTCTTGAGCCAAAGGTTTATATGAAACAACCTATCTACCTTCTCAAGATAGGGGTAATGTATGCGTACACAATACCCTCCCGAAATCTCACTCGTGTAATCACACTGGATTTGTTATTGTTGTTATTCTCCCCATAAAAGCCATGAGTATATTAATGTTACTATTTATCCTTGCATACAGGGAACAAGAGCAGTTGAAGCAATAATGCTTGAGTCTCCAGATTTGATGGATTTCACTTTTGAGTACTAAACATTTGAAAAGATGACCAAGCTAAGGATCCTACAAATCAATCACGTTCAGCTGCATGGAAGTTTTCATTATCTACCGAAGTCATTAAAATGTTTGTTTTGGCACTATTGTCCAATGAAATACATACCATCTGATTTTTATCTGGAGAGTATTGTTCTTCTCGACATGGCTTATAGTAATTTCGAAGAATTCCGAGCACCTTTGAAGGTTTGACATTACTTCTGACATAATTTCAAAATTTATTATTCTTTGGAAGCTTAAAAACAAAACAAAAAAACTTATGTCCATTCTTTTTTGTTCATTTTTTTTTTGGATACAGTATTTCAAGTGTTTAAAGAAATTGATATTCAGCTATTGTGAGAACCTCAAGATATCTCCCAAGTTTGCTGGTTTACATCTTCTTGAGGAATTATCCTTTAGTGGTTGTCTAAATTTGATGGGGTTAGACTCAACAATTGGAGATTTGGAGAGACTTTGTAGTCTCAATTTGACATCTTGTTGTAACATATGGAAACTTCCAGATAGAATCTGTGATTTAAAATCACTTGAAATCCTGATCCTCGACGGTTGCTCAAAACTGAAAGAATTGCCTGATGATTTGGGCAAGTTGGAATGTCTAAGAGAAGTGCATGCCGCGGCCACAGCTCTCACATTCAAAGAACTTGGAGATGCTATTGCTATGACAAGACTACTAGCTTATTGTTGGGTGTGTGAACGAAGTCCCACATGAAAATTAGAAAAGAAAAATAAGCTACTTATAAGGAGTTGAATACTCTTAATGGTGTGAAGCCTTTTAGGGAAAATTATGAAGCTTTGCCCAAAGTGAACAATATCACACCTTATTAAGAGTATTTTAGGTTGTTTTAGCCTAACAAGACTGTTTTAGGCGCGGAAACAATCTCTTTGTAAAAATGTCAAGGTATGCTGCATAGAGCATACTGAAGAACCTCAGCTGGGAAGCAGTTCATGTGCGTGTAAGCCATATTGAAATCTAGACTAGAGCCACCATTCCCTCACTGTATGAACATGCACTACCTTTACACTAGTGACTATATACTTAGAAACAAATGTTGATAAGAAAGAGCAATTTCAGTTCAGACCACCAGCATAGTTTCAAGATTTAATATTCAGGGTTTCTTCAAGCAGTTGGCCATGTTGCAAGTAGAGATAATGCAAGATGATAATGAAAATGTTGCATGCCATAAAAAGGGCAAGAGCAATTACAAACAACTATTTTAAGCAACCATCAAAGTCAGCATGCAGATGACACTAAAACATGGGATAAAATATGAGAACTTTTAATCTAGTAAACCAAATTTATCTCCTTATTGGTTAATTCTCAATCAACGAAAAACATTTTCTACCAGCTGACGAGAGGAGCAGTCACTCACTCACTCAGAGTCTTCAACAAAGTAAAGGTGGGATGGTTCAACTGTCCATTGAACTGAATCTAAGACCCTACAACGAACATTGCATAGTGATCTCATCGCCTACTTTAGCACATGATTGCCACATCATCTAGATCCCTCGCACACTGATTTAAGCAGCCGGATGAATGGCCTGTTCAAGAAACAAGGTGTCTGCCATTCTTATCATACTGGTTAAATACAAAGATAATCCCATCTAAGCATTACACAAGAAACCAAATCTAAGACAAGCTATGTACTTACTAGCACCAACAAATCGATACTAAGCTCCAAAATGCAGTTGATTGCATGATCACATTAATAAGCCAGATCACATTTGTCCTCAATATGCATAGCCTGACCAACAAGGCCATCAAAATTGTCGGTGGACTAACCTGAAGCACAATAAACTCTTGCTGCTATGTAGGTTCAGAAACTCCTATGTTCCTCCAAACTACATAGGGACCTCTGTTTTGGAATTCACATGGTTGAAAACCAGTTAATGCCTTTCCCATGAGGGCCATGGCAGCAATGCTTGGGAACTGCTTCTTCCGAAAATCATTAACTTCCAACTTTGAGCCTCGAGACTTACAAACTACCACTGGTTGAGGCCTCTTTTGTGCAGTAGCATCCCTATTATGAAGCCACCTTCGCATCCAAGACTGTGAAGTCAATAACTCTAAATTTTTCTTCATAACATTTATAGATGAAGAGACACTGTTGCTAGCTAAGGCTGGAGGTCTATCAAGAGCCATCAATTCTTCACCATGGAGTTTACCAGCTGTGAGTTCTGAGCCGCTTATAGTAACTTTAGTAATTTTGTTTAGAAATTTGTTTGCTTTCTCATGAGATGTATTCCCTGAAAGGTTAGCGCTTTTTGTTCCAACAGAAAATGAGCCAGAAGCACTAATTTTGAGGCGCTTGACCCATCTGCCACCTGGTTCCTGTTCAAGCAGAACGACAGGGGAGAAATCGGCTTTCAATGAACTTGCCTGCTCATTATGACCAAGGAGTGATCTCAAATCCAGACTTTGAGTTGTGGAAGAAGTTGGTTCCAACTTATCAATCGGAGCAGGAGGCTCCAAGTTCATGTCAGGTATAATGTTTTTACATCCAATTTCTTTTCTGGGACAGCCAAGTGCAAGATGAGTAGGTGCATTTTGCTCCATTTCATTCTCCTGCAAGATATCATTGGGTCAACATCAAAACGGACTTATTATTGCTTGAGCTCTTACTCTACTCAATATGTCAAACGTGAAACCAACAGCACCATTTCCAAGAGTACAGTTTTGTTGAAACATTTGGAGTTACACTAAGAAGATCACAGAAGATATGCCAGTTTTTCTCGCATTGTACAAGGAATAAGAGTGAGAATACCAGCTAGAACAACTCAGTTTCCTCAAAATGTTATATGGTTTAGCTTATCAGACAATAACTGCAGCCAACTTTTAAAACTCATTCCCATATATACTTGGTATTTATCAGGTAGATTGGAAGAATTGGGAGTTCCTATCGATAATAAACCGAAGAAAACTTGATATCATAATATGACTATTTTTACATTAACCACCAACCTAAACTAGAAATTAGAATGTTCAAAGGACAGTGAGAATACCTGCTTTAGTGGGGAAGAAGTCATACCTGCAAAAGTCATAAGAAAGGCAAATTAGTTAAACAAGTAAAAGTCAGTGTAGCAACAATATATACGAGACTAAAGCTTAGAAAGATCTTTCATTTTTTTTCCCGCTTGGTAGGTTAGAATTTTAGAGACCATGACCATAACAAATTTTAAAGAAGATTTTTGCACCAGTTTTACGTTAGTAAAGTGCTTTAATCAAGACCTTTTAGACATAGTTCAGACCAGTACATACCACAAAGATGGTTCTTTTCCAAAAACACATCCATTTTCATGGTATCAGTTTCAGCTGAACAATTCATTCTTCAACATTACTTCAGAAGGCTTACTGTCTTCAGTATGTTTCTTTTCCTTCACTAGCTGCAGAACTTCCCAGCAGATTGTATCTTCGGTTTTTCTTTTGGTTATTACCAAAAGGTAGAGATTGGCTGTCATGATCAATTAATGTTGTTTTACCATTAACTTCACTCCATATCCTTGCTTTACCAATGTCTTTTCTCTCTTCACACTGATTAACATCAGTCTTTTTCACGATTAAACAACTGTGGGTTGTCTGAGAAATGCAGAGATAATATCCAGTCAATACGGTTACAGAGTCCAATGCAGTGCCTATTCTCATTGTCTCAACATAATGCATAGAATATGATAGTTTTTGTGGATGGTAATGCCAAGTTTCTCTAATACCAACAACTTAAGTCTTTTGATTTGGTTACCTGGGGAGGACTACATTCACTCGCAAACAATCCAATAACAGAATGATCCGGTATTCTGTGGAACTGTTCTCCACCAAATTCTGGGAGATGTTTGCTGCTTGTAGAGGGTACATTTTGCAAGAATGTACCGCTCTGCCTCATCTGACAAAAGCATGAGCTTGTCCAAATTCAGAGGAGTCTGAAATGTAGCTTCAAGCTGAGTATAACAATCCATGGATGAAGCTTCACTTGCAAAATGAGCTATTGGAAAAGGTGTGCAACTTCTCCTTGTGGAAAATGTAACCATACCAGAGCAAGAGTTGGGGTCAAGTTGAGGCTTTAATGCTAGAATGCCACAAGTTTCCTGGCCTATTTCAAGAGATGAACTACTTTACACCATTTCTATGTGGATAACTAGATAAAGATGGAAATTCGGAAAGGACACCCAAAGAATTAACTAGATAAGTATTGAGTTGAAGGCTACAGAACAGAACCAAAATCAACAATGAACAGCACCAAATTAAAAGATGTGACATATAACATATTGTAAGAAGGGATTCGAGTAAAAACGTCATCCTGATACAACAGATCCTAAAATATGTAGGGATCGATTATGAATCCTCTGTAACTATTCCACTCTATTCAAGGCCACTCATATTGCAGCAACAAGGTAAATAAAGAGAAGTCTCTCCTTAAAATTCCAAGCAATTGTTGAACACATATTCAATGAAAACATGCAGCCCAGATCAGAAAGAAAGAAACTTGATGTTGATCCTCATATGGCAAATGGCAACAATGAGTTATTTATGGGCTAAGCGCAACGAGTAAAGTATAACCTCATATTCAGAGATAGCATATGTATCAATAACCAATAGAAAATTCCAGGATACCTACATAGCAAACAACTCCAATATGCACAATTAGTAACCTCTCAATAATAACATCCCTATATAACAACCATTCACTATAGCAACCTAGTTTATCTCAAAACCGGTTTTTATGTTATATTTTACCTCTCTATAACAGCTTTCTACCTATAACAACAACAACCAACTTTATGACAGTACCGTCCTTGTAAAATTACCCCTCTATAACAGCCATATAGATTTTCTACGATTATTACTAATAATAATTCTAAATATTTTTATAACTTTAATGTACAACCTATAATAAAAATATATTATATTAAGGATGTTAGTACGTTCCATGAAAACATGCATATCATACATTTTTTATTTTGAAGATCTACAAATGATATATTTTGTATTAGAAAAATGGCAAAAGATATTTAAAAGATCTATTTATACTTTATGAAGATATGCACGTCATTCTTTTTATTTGAAGTCCTTTTGCCGAAAGTTTGGATGCAAATCTTTACCGATTCAAGCATTATACCACCAGTAAGAGAGACTAGAATTTACAAAACAAACTACAATTGTGGAGTTCTTCCATCAATGTTTGAAATATTTAATTTTGTGCCTTAGAGGTCTTGTACGTTTAGTTGTGAGTTTTTAATGTATTAGATTTCTTTAGATTCATGAAATATAATTATTTTTTGAGATTTTAATTTTAAATATTTTTTTAATATGTAATATTAAAAAAGAAAAAATTATAACAATAGCCAAAATATATTAAAACGCCAAATGGTGTTATAAGTGTATAACAACCATTCACGCCAAAAAATATCGGAACAAACAACCGTACCAATTACACGGTTTTTCCCAAAGCCCTCACAACAATTACAACTTTTTCCACACCCAACGATATATATAGAAGGGAGTGAAAATTAAACTTCAAAATGAACTCACCTAACAACGCAGTAAGGTTGAAACCGAAGGAAACTTCAGAGCTCTCCACTGTTAGAAATGTTACACAGAAATTGAACCTTTTATTTGTTTGGTGAAGAAAATTGAACTCTGAATTGGACTCGTGAGTTATGCATAGGACAGAGAAAATTTTTGGGTTCTAAGATTTTTTTTTTTTGCTCTAAATTTTT